TGACTCTCCCATCAACGCTATCCTTCCCATCCTCACACCCTCCCTGCAGATAATCCAAGCCAGCCTGGTGCTCACCAACTGTGTTTACATCATCACTGAAATCCCAGCCCTAGCACCTGCCACATCCCTCCACGAATACCATACATCCCACCCTCCCACCACCCTCATTCAGGTGATCCAAGCCAGTCTGGCGCTCGCCAATAGGCCCAGACATCAGCGCTGACATCATCGCAGAGCTCTCTTCACTCTCCAACGTGCGCCTGCTGCAGCGCCTCCACCGCACCCTCCTCGCCCCCTCCCCGTCCACCACCACACCACGCCCAAGCACCGCCCAGTAGCACCGCGTCCTCCTCCCAGCGCGTGAGGAGGAGGCGGCTGGTGCCGGTGGCGGCGGAGAACCTCTCGCTGCGCACGCTGCTGTCCGCTGCTGTGCACGCCCGGCACCGCTGACGTCACTGCCGACCTGCTTGACTTGAGAACGACGAATTCTACTTCAAAGAGTGGTGAGTGTTGCATTCGAGTAGTGTGAGTGCATGCTCGTTCTGAAGGATGATGCGAGCGGTAGCAGCAGCATCACCACCAGCACCAACAGCAGCAGCAACGGTGGGTGGCACGTAGCAGGAACGGGCGCACGAGGGGGCGCAGGAGGCGGCTGGTGCCGGTGGCGGCGGAGAACCTCTCGCTGCTGTCCGCTGCTGTGCACCGCGGCACTGCTGACGTCACTGCTGACGTCACTGCTGACCTGCTTGACTTTGAGAATGACGAGTTCTACTTCAAAGAGTGGTGAGTGGTGGTTTCTGGGGACGTGTGTGGCATGCTCTGCGCCCTGCTTTACTTCATCCCCTCCATGCCTCTCCATCCTCCCCTCACTCCTCCTCTCCACCACACCCCACAGGCCGGAGCTAGTGGGGCGCACGTTTGGAGATGCGCTCTTCCTGTTTGACAACGCCACCCCCTGTGGTCCCATGCATGCATGCATGGATGCCTGCCCTGCTCACACACCCATCCCATCCGCACACCTTCCCTTCCCATTCGCCTACACATGACCTTCCATTCACGTCCCCACAGGCCAGAGCTGGTGGGCGCACGTTTGGCGATGCGCTGTTTCTGTTGACAACGCCACCCCCTGTGGGCTCATGAAGGCTCCCAAGCAGCACACCGCACCCGATGCTTCCGGTGCTGCCGGCAGCTCTATGGGCGAGGTGCTCGTGAACCCGCCCAGCTGGACGCTCATAGAGGTACGCTCATAGAGGTACGCTCACAGCTAGGGCACCATATGCCCCGCATGCTGCTGCCGCTACTGCACTTGGTGGTGTGGGGCGCACATTGGCTGGCAGCCCTATGGGCGAGGTACGCTCATAGAGGTGAGCCTATGGCTTTTCCAGGGTTCTCCCATACAGGAACGCTGACAGGTGGTCTGGTCCCTCCAGGACAGGCTCGTGGAGGTGCGCTGCTCATGGCTCATCCCCCTGTGGGCTCATGAAGGCCCCCAGGCAACACAGCACACCCGATGCTTCCAGTGCCGGCAGCACAATGGGCGAGGTGCTCGTGAACCCGCCCAGCGGACGCTCATTGGGTATGTTGCTGATGGGCTATTTGGATCTTGAGACATCTCAAAAAGTCACTCCTCATTGAAGTAGGGTTGGGGACTTTTCCAGGCCATTATGTCTCGCAGCATTCACCGTTGCTGTATTCCTCTTAGTTCCTCCCTTCCCTTCCCCTCCGTCCAGTTCTCCCCTCCTTCCATCCAGCCGCTTCCTTCCCACACCACACCCATCTCTTGGTATGTCTCAACCCCACCCTCAACAGCTACCGCCCTGGACTGGACCCACATGATACTCCGTTCGCCCCTCAACCCTCCTCCATCCCACCCCACCCCGTACCTCCCCTCATTGTCAGCCCGGGACAAGACAAGCTCCTGGTGATCGCAACAGCTACCGCCCCGGGCCCAGCCACAACACACTCCATTGCTCACTGCTCTCCCCTACCACGTCTTCTCCGTCTTTCCCCCTGTGATTTCTCCTCTCCCATTTCTTCCACTACATCAGCCCGGAGACAAGCTCCTAGTGATTGCAGCGGATCGCAACAGCTACTGGCCTGGACCCAGCCGCCTGCTGCACTCATGATGTGCCGTCCCCTTCCTCTCCTCCCCCTTCGACCCCCAACCCCCAAACCCCCCAACCCGTCAACCCTTTGTCAGCCCGGAGACAAGCTCCTAGTGATAGCAGCGGACCGCAACAGCTACCGCCCGGGCCAAGTCGCCTGCCGCCCCCGCCGTCCGAGCTCACTGCTGCAGCTGTCCCGGCAGCCACTCAGAAAGCGCCACGTGGCACGAGCAGCAGCAGCGTGGGTGGCAAGCAGCATGTGCTTATATGCGGATGGCGGCCGGAAGCAAAGCAGCTGGTGGAGCTGTTGCCCTCGATACTGGCACAAGGCAGTGAGGTGACGGTGGTGGCGACTCACATCTCCCCAACAGACGAGCTGCTGCTGGGGAACATTCGCAGGCACAAAAAGCTTCCTATTCGCATCAGTGAGTGCTGCTTGCAGGCAGGTGAGGTGAGGGCAGCGAGGTGGGGGCAGGGAGTGGGGGCAGGGAGTTGGGTCGGGGAGTTGGGTCGGGGGAGTTGGGTCGGGGGCATGAAGGTGGCTCTACTACTGCGTTCAATGCAAGTCAGCACGGCCTATTCCACCCAGCTCGTTCCCTTCCTCTTCCCTTCCACTTGAAACCCACCCTCTCTCCACCACTCACACACATAGAGCGCAGTGGCCCAACACCCTCCCTCGCTTCTTCCCTCGTCATCCCTTCTCCCTCCCTCCTCTCCCCAGCACCCCAGAAACAACGCCCCAGCGCCCACCTAACTCCCATTCCCACTCTCTCCCTTCCTCACCCTCCTCCCATCCTCCCCCTTTTTTAGAGCGTGGCAGCCCAGCAGACAGGGAGGTGTTAGAGTCGCTACCCCTAGTAACAGTTGACTCGGTGATTCTGCTGCAGTCAACGCAAGTCAACGTGTCTCCCAACACTTCCCATCCCACCCCCCCCCCCCCCCCCACACCAGAGCGTGGCAGCCCAGCAGACAGGGAGGTGTTAGAATCGCTGCCGTCCTGAGACCGTCGACTCGGTGATTCTGCTGCAGTCAATGCAAGTCGACATGCCCTCATCAAACCCCAGGCCGCCACCCCCCACTCCGTCTTTTCCTTCCCATTCCATCCACCCCCCACACACCAGAGCGTGGCAGCCCAGCAGACCGGGAGGTGATGGAGTTCCGCTGCCTCTTGAGACCGTCGACTCGGGTGATTCTGCTGCAGTCAACGCAAGTCAACGGGGGGGAGAACGGGAGGACGAGGAGGAGGATGCTGGCATGGTGGACAGGGCTCACAGGCTACAGTGACCGCGCTGCTTATCAGGAGCATTCAGGTGCTTATCAGGTGTCTTTACAGGTGCATCCAGGTGCTTTTTCTCTCCCCGGTGCAATGTATTTCCCGAGACTCGTTAGGAAACCAAAAGGTGACTCTGTATCTCACCTCCTCCTTTACTGCTCATGTCTGCTCATGTCTGCTCATGTCTGCTCATGTCTGCGACACGAGGGGCATGCATTGGAGAGGCAGAGGGGAGGCGGTAATCAAATCAATTCTCTCCAATGCGGAGGGGAGGCGCAGTACCAATTCTTCATGTCGACACGGCAGGGCAAGCGGCTGTTATTCAGGCCACAAACAGGCAGAGGGCTCAAGGTTTCAGGTTCAGGGTTTAGCTTCTAGGGTCCCACTGTTTTCTCTCCTCTGCGATCTCTCCCCACTGTCTGCCCCTGCTTTCTCTTGCAGGCGGCCAGGGGGAGAGCACAAGAGGCGGCAATAGTGGCAGAGGTGCCGGCGAGTGAGAGGGACGTGGCGAGGCAGGTGGAACGGCATGCACTGGATGGAGCTGTGTGTCCCGAGCACCTGGAGGCTCAAGTGCTGGCGCAGATCACACACGACCCGGGTGAGATGGGGCAGGCAGGGGTGAGTGCTGCGTTAGTTTTGTTTCGTTACTTCAACCATGTGGGAAGCAGGCCCTTTTATATCTTGCTCTAGAGGTGGAGAGGTATGCGCTGGACGGGGCTGTGTGCCCCGAGCACCTGGAGGCGCAAGTGCTGGCACAGATCACACACGACCCGGGTGAGACTAGCTGGCTGGGTTATGGACGGGTGAGACTAGCTGGCTGGGTTACGGACGGTGAGACTAGCTGGGGTACGGGTGAGACTAGCTGGGGTACGGGTGAGGACTAGCTGGGGTACGGGTGAGACTAGCTGGGGTACGGGTGAGACTAGCTGGGGTACGGGTGAGACTAGCTGTGGCTACGGGTGAGACTAGCTGGGGTACGGGTGAGACTAGCTGGGGTACGGGTGAGACTAGCTGGGGTAGCGGGTGAGACTAGCTGGGGTACGGGTGAGACTAGCTGGGGTACGGGTGAGACTAGCTGGGGTACGGGTGAGACTAGCTGGGGTACGGGTGAGACTAGCTGGGGTAACGGGTGAGACTAGCTGGGGTACGGGTGAGACTAGCTGGGGTAGCGGGTGAGACTAGCTGGGTAACGGGTGAGACTAGCTGGGGTACGGGTGAGACTAGCTGGGGGTACTGGGTGAGACTAGCTGGGGGTACGGGTGAGACTTAGCTGGGGTAACGGGTGAGACTAGCTGGGGTACGGGTGAGACTAGCTGGGGTACGGGTGAGACTAGCTGGGTACGGGTGAGACTAGCCTGTGGTACGGGTGGGCAAGCACTCTCAGGCCTTGGCAGGTGGAGAGGCATGTGCGCTGTGTGCCCCTCAGAACTCTTGGATTTTCTTGCCCAAAATCAATCTCTGTCAACCATCCTCTATTGTGCCGCGCCACAGCGAGTATGGGATAAGACCCCGCATTCCCCTCGCCCTCCCCCTCCCCAGATTCCCTTTTCCTCTCTCGTGTGCCTCCCCGCCAGATGTGGGCACGGTATTGGACAGATAATTGGTTGGAGTGGGAACGCATTCATCAAACCACCCTCCCCTCCTACCTCCTCTCCTTGCACGCACTCAAACCCCTCCGACCCCCAGATGTGGGCACGGTGTTTGGACTGGAAGATATAAATCGGGTCGGAGAGGAATCGCATGGCAGTGCGGCGAGCAGCGAGCAAACGTGAAGAAAATGTGTCCAAGGCCCACAGTCATCAAACCACCCTCCCACCTTCCCCTCCCCCTACCCCCTTCTGCTTCCATATTAAAGCCCTATGCATCCCGTACCTCTCCACACACCCCTCCTCCCCATTCCCTTCCTCCCCTTCCCCCCCACTCTTTCTTGTCGTATCCACCACTGCCAGATGTTGGAACGGTATTGGACGAGATAATCGGGTCGGAGAGGAACCGCATGGCGGTGCGGCGAGCAGACGAGAATCACATCTATCAAATCCTCCCCCCCCCCCACCCTCCCCTCCCCCTCCCCCTCTCTGCTTCCATAACAAACCCCCATACATCCCAGATGTGGGCACGGTGTTGGACGAGATAATCGGGTCGGAGAGGAATCGCATGGCGGTGCGGCGAGCAGACGAGTTTATCGGGGAGCACGAGGCAGGCATCTTCAACCTCTGGGAGATGCAGGTGTGATTGCAGGGAGGAACAGGTGTGATTATGTATGTGAAACTGTTAGGGTGAGCGGCTGTAAAAGCTTTTCTTCCCCCTGCATGCTCCATGCCTCGTTTCCCCCCATTTTCCCTCCCAGCCCCAGCGAAGTTCCCCCTTCCTCCCCTTCATCAACCCAACTCCTCCCCGCCCCGACCCACCCCCCTCCTCTCCCCCCACCACCAGGCGCGGGTGCGCATGAGTGAGGAGTTGGTGATAGCGTATCGGCACCGGGGGGAGTGGCACCTGAACCCCTCCAACAAGGACCAACTTATTCCCTGGGGACATGATGACCGCCTGCTCGTCATCCGAGCCTCGCTGACAGCTTCGGCCAGACCTGCAGCCGTCAGCACAGCCTGATTGTCATGCCATGCTAACCAAGGCGTGCCAGGCCAGGCCATGTGACGTCAAGCCGTACTGCTTTGATTTGTCACCTGCCATGCTTGCAGTCATGTGCCTGAGCCAATCAGTGGCAGGCAGGACAGCATCAGCCTAGGAGTAGTAATTTATGTGATGTTGAAGTAATACCAGTATAACTCCGAAGTTACTGTTCATCCATGGTGAGTTGTGTTACTGGTATGACCAGATACAAGCTGGTCCATTTGTGGCAATATATTTAAAATGAACTGGAATTTTCCGGTAAGGGTTGCATCAGCTAGTCTAATACTGTAATATACATCTGGTTACATCTTTTACATGGTACACTGTCTCCTACTACCGTAGTATCTGCCATGCCTACTACAAGCATGTCTGGCGGTCTGTCTGTGAGAGACGTCTCACTCCTAACCTTAACATATCCAATCCATTAGCATAGTAGATGCCTCACACACCCTGCACATCCACACCATCCGCCCCCCTCCACGGTGGAGGGAGGCATATTCTCCCTCGCGGCGGCTGGTGAAGGTAGATGCCACCACCTTCGCCCTCGCCATTGGTCCACGTTTCACTATCTCATGAGCGCTCGCCTTGACCCAACCACAGCTCACCTCCCTTGCTCCCTCCCCTCTAGATGCACCCCCCTGTAAAAACCTCCCTTCTCCCTCCAGATGCTCCACCTCCCTCCTCTCCTGTTATTGGTCCTCGTTCAGGTATCGCATGAGCGCTCGTCTCTTGGCGAGGCGCGGGTGCGACAGGTCGGCGACGGGATCCACGATCGCGCGCGTCGCAGCGTCGTCCGCCGAGTTAGGAGTGTATTTGACGACTAGCCGGCGGTCGCCGCGCCGCATCAGAACGACCGGCTCCGATAGATCGATTTTAGGCACGCCGATGGTGGCGCATAGCGTCGAGAGGAAGAAGACGAGGAGAATAAAGACGAGGACGAGTCGCGCTGTGGATAGTACTCGGGATGAGAAGGCCTGATGGGATTTAGGCGGGGGGGACGGGAAGAGGGCGGGGTGAGAGTGGGGAGGGGGGGAGATTAGAGGTGGCTAACGGATAAAATGGGCGGCGATGAGGGTCATAGTTGAGGAGCCTCAATAATAAAACAAAAAAGGCTTGGTGCAAGGGTCCGCCTGGCTTCAGGTCTGATTTAGCGAGCTCTAACTGGAAATGTCTCTCTTGATCCTAACTCCTTCCCGATTCTTCTCGTCTGAATGCCTACAGCCTGTTGCGTCGCCCTTCCGCTGCTGACCACCTGCCCACCCATCCCCCCTCGGCAACGGCCAACCTCGGCACGGCCAGCCTCGGCACAACCAGGCTCGGCAGGGATGATCACGTCGAACCTAAGCCTGCCCGCTAGCAGAACTACACCTGGTCTCGAGCAAACCATCGCTCTCTCTATCAGCGATGGCTGCGCTGCTCCCCATCTGCTACAACCGCCGCAATGCGTCTGCTACAGCCTCCCTACTTTTTTGCTTTACAGCCCGCACTCCCTCGGCTATGTGCCTCCATTCAGTGCCACAGCCGCTTTGCTCTAAAGAAGCGAGTACATATCCGCGACCGTGTCCCGCGTGACGTCAATGTGCGACCTCGTGACGAAAACGGGTCTGCGTAACGACTCGCTACCGAATCGTCGGGTATCGTTGCGCAGATGCGGCCATCGCACACGGGAAACCATGATCCCGCCTTCTCTCAAATGTGCATTATTACGAGTAAGTTAGAGTCGGGTCAAAAGGAAATGCTTTTACCTTGGATCGCGATTTGCCGTCGCTGAAAGCGCCTGCTGTGAACGACGAAACGGGCGATCGCACGCACAGCGGCGACCCCATCTCCCACCGTACGCACTTCCGCGCGCTCTCCATGACTGCCCGCAATTCACGGCGATTAATCCGGTTGATATGGTTTCCGCGTAGTGCGCTGGCACTAGGGTCCGAAAGGCCGATGCGATAGTCCGAGTGACCTGGTTCCCGAGGCGGATAGATGATGTAGGCTAGTGTTGACTGTCTCTTTCAAGTATGCTTCACGGCGAGTCTGCTGCAAGGTGCATGTGACCTGTCTCAAGTGCACAATACGAAGCAGGAGGCTGCTTCGCTAAGCGTTAACAACTTGGTCTGGCGCTGCACCGAAGAATGAACGGGGGGCTGCGTGGCGGAGGCATCAGGCGAGGCTGTGAAACATCGCTTCACGAGAGGCGTGGGTTATGCGGGAGGAGCGGATGTTGCCGTAGGAAAACCACGCTGCGAGAAAAGTAAACGGTCGCAGGGTCACAGAGGGCTCCAATAACAGCGCTGGTGCGTGTTGAGGCTTGGGCTGGAAAGGCTTGTTGCTTGTGGGTCAGACACTCTCTCGGTGTGGTAGAAATTCAGCCTGTGGAGGTTTGCAGCTGGGGTTGAATAATCAGCTATAAGGTTTGAAGTTGGGATTTATGTCTTGTCTTGCGAGTGGAAGATTGGTGCTGCTGCATGTGTGCTTGTTGAAAATAGCGTTCTGTGCTGCGTTGATGTGGTGCACAGAATTGCCACTGATGAGACGACATGCGTGAGGGCGACGCGACGCCACAGTGCGGAAAGGCTGTGCCCTTGTGTGAACAGAAATCCCATGACATGGCATGGCATGGCATATTTGCCCGAGGTGGAGGCAAATAAGACGAGAAGAACCAGTGCAATCAGGAGAAATCAAGAACCGACATGCGACGCGTGGCTGCTCAGATTCACCCGAGCCAGGCGCAGGCCAAAGTTGGCGAAATGAATTCAGCGACCTTCGCAGAAGGGGAGAGGAATGAATGAGCGCCACTCGTTGCACAGGCGTGGCGTTTCGGAATCCGCTGAAGCACACTCCCGCTTCCCAGGAATCCCCCCTCCGCCACCAGCAGCGGTGCGACAACACCGAGAACGGAAAAAAATCAGCAGCGGTTCGTCGTGTTCTGCCAGGGTGATAAGCAGCGGGATGAACGGAAGCTATCAGGGGAAAATCCTCACCTGAGGTGGTTACGAATTACAGCTACGGTACGGTACGGTTGACTGTGAAGAACATGTCCACGAATCACGGTAGAGCTTTCCTTCAATTCAGTTCAGGTGTCTGTGCATGCCCCACCAGACAGGAAACAAACATCGGCGCTCACAGTGAATTTGGTCGGGACGCTTCGAGCCCAGATAGAATTCCAGGATTAGCCAGAAATGAGCCACTTTCGTCATGCGGGACAATCGATACAATCACCCTATTTCATTTGCTTTTGTACACTCTTCCAGAAGCTCTTCCCACCCAATGCATGGAAAGCAGCAAACACTGTATTCCATTTAATTTATGGTACACGACAAGTCCCAAAACATATATCCAGCATATTTTATTCGCAGCTGTAATGAGAACAACACTGCAATCTCTCGATTTGGTCTCCCTGCAACAAGTGTGTGTGCCCCCAAGCAATTCTTTGGTTCAGATTGGATTGGAAACAAAACACCTTGTGGTGGTAGCAGATGGAGGTGTTGCAATAAGCCATGATAACCAATGGTGCATTAAACTGGTGCTGACGATTCCAACCTAGCCTGACCACCAGCATGGATATGCACTGTATTGGGTTTTCACCACTAGAATGAAGTTGATGTGGATAGCGCACCCAAGCCATCAAACAGAGCCCGAAGCCAAGGGTTATTGAGGGTTACAGTGCTACATACTGTCCAAGCCATTTGAGGGTGCTAATGAGGGGTCCCATATATTATCGAGGTGTGAGGGGAACACAGGTGAGTGGGGAACGCAGATGAGATAGCAGGGAAAATGGTGGTGCGAAGAGGGAAATGGCAGTGACGGATTGGGGAGGGAATTGTGGTGAACTGGGGAAAGGGAGGGGAGGAGTGGGGAGGAGAGCGGGAGAGAGGGAATGATAACAGCAGGGAGGGAGCGGCAGCGAGAGGAGGAAAAACGCAGCGAGGGAGGGAGGGAGATGGTAGGGAAATTGCATAGTGGGTTGGGGTTGTGGAGAAAGGCGAGGGGCGGTTAAGGGGGGGCTAATGGGTATCGGGGAGACGAACGGCAGTGAGCGAGGGGGCGAGGGGAGAATATGGTGGGGAAAGAAGCGGAATGGAGGGGAACGGCGGTGAGAATTGAGGAAAGGAGAGGAAAATGGCGGTGACGCAGGAGGTGGAGGGAGAGGGTATGTGGGGTTGGGGAAGTCGGGGGGTTATGAGGGAAATGCAAATTCGTCCAAAACGGTTAGTTCGGTCGATTGACAAGTTTATTTTCAGTGGTGTAAATTTCCCTGTGCTGCTGGTTGCGGCTCTGCTGTTTCTTTTTCCATGGAACCGCCACGGCTGCAGCCGTGGAAGAGTGAATTTAGTGTAAAATAGTAGCTACGTTGAACTACAATGTAAAGAAACGCGAAGGAAAACGAGTGAAGGCTAGTCAATTCTACATAAACTACACGACGCAGACAATGGTGAAAGATATACGCCGCGTAAACAGCACATACTCACCACCCTGCGAATCCCTCAGCGGAAAGCCCGGCGGAACCCCGCGAGCACCCTCGCGCGCACTCCCCCCTCCCCAGCGCGCGGCCGTCACTCAAAACGGCACCTGCGCGTCGGCGGCTTCCGCGACGATGGGCAAGCGGGGAGTCTTCCCGAGGAGGCACGACACGACGCCGAAGACGAAGCACGCGAAGAGGTACAGAAACACGGTGTTGTAGAAAATAATCGTCAGCTGTAGCGAGATGCCGTCGTTGCCAGCGAACAGGCGCTCGATGAGAGACGGCAGGATCATGAGGATATCGAGAATCACGGCCTGCATCGCGTTGTACCGCACGTAACGGTCGAGGTTTTGGTTGCGGATGACGGCGAGATAGAGGAGGAAGAAGAGGATGAGGCCGGCGTACGGGAAGGAGTTGTAAGCTTGAACGAGCGGGATGATCGGGTCGAGGATCACGCGCGTGAAGGGGTATTGCGCGTAGAGGAATCGCGCGTAACGCGCGCCGTCTAGGAGCGGGAGGAAGT